ATGGGGCTAAATAATCTATTAACTCCTCAAAATGAAGCATTTTACTTGAGGTGAATCAGTGTCACCTTGGTCAACTGAATAATGCCAGGAATAAAGCGACACGAAATGATCAGATTTCCTCAATGACCCCATGATAAGACTGCGCTCCCAACTTCCTTCCTAGGCTCCACCGAGAGCCCAGGAATGACTGCCCATTTTCCAGTTTGGTCACTGCGAGCAAAAAGCTTACGAGTTTCTTAGCTCTAGAGACTGTTAAAAAAGCTTTGGTCTTCAATCTATTTGAATTCACTGTTTTTATTCTTTATGATATAATACTACGATTATAAAAGAATAAGCATCAAAAGTACAACTGTCTTGAAAAGAAAAAAATAAAAATAAATGCAACCCCAGCTTAGACTTGAGCAAGCTTAGTTAGTCTACAGGGAGAATCTTTGATAGGGAGATTTATGATGAATGATATGGATACGGCATTCATTTCCTTTTCATTCACCACTAAGAACGCTTGTCTGTAACCGTGTTAGGTGACTTGGGGGCTGCTTGCTGATTAAAGCTTGTGCAACTTTGAAAGGCAAGTATGATCAGCCCCGCTTTAGTGTTGAAAAAACAGCCACAGAGAGGTTAAGGGGAAGAGAAAAAAGGTGATGAACCTTGTTCAATGTCCCACAGTCAGAATGTGACTGAGCTGGGCCTTGAACCTAGGCTGATTCCAGTGTCACTATCCTTCCCCAGCCCTACTAGGCCACCACACCTCCGTGAGTGTGTGTGTGTGTGTGTGTGTGTGTGTGTGTGTGTGTGTGTGCACGCGCGCTTAGAGATCTGGCACGATTCCTCTGATCACGCGCACTGAATTTTATTTCTACTTGGCTCCTTGGCATTTTAAAGAGCCCACAGCTTCTCTCTAGGCAAGTACAAAGTAAAGTGCTTAGAGAGTCAGAGAATGCCTAGGCAATGAGTTGCTTTCTGTTTGTCTCTTCTAGATGTATTCTGTACAGAAATACACATGAAATACACTGAAGCATAAGTTTAATATACTCCAGCTGTTTAAGCAAGATGACTTAACTTGAAGATGTTGGATAAAGAGAGCTTTGTATAAACATGTACAAACTGTGTGTAAGTCAAGACCAGGAGATGCTGGAAATCTTAAAATAACACAATTTGTGCACTTATCTTGCAAGATGATGATAATCCAAGTTTATAAGGCATTCCACTTCTGCTTAGAATAAAGCTGTACGAGAACATGTTCTCACCCAAACAACAACTACAAAAGGCTGGGTGACCTATAACCCCCTAGTTTTTCGGAGCCCAGAGCAAAAGCTAAAAGGTTTTCGTGCAGCTGAGGTGATTCTGACTTACCTTATAGGACAGAGCAGAGCTGCTCCTTAGGGTTTCTAAGGCTATACAACTGTATGGGAGGAGAAAGCCTCACCTTTTCCCCAGAGAGCAGCTGGTGTGTTTGAACTATTGACCTTACAATTAGCAGGGAAACGCTTAATCCACTGAGAGTTGAATTCAAGAGTGACAAGCCCATATGAGGAGAAGCAGGACTCATCTCTGGCTGAGCAAGTGACAGTTCAAAACGTGAGTAGGAAGAAACACCTAGACCTAAGGAAATTCTTAAAATTCAGAACCTGGCCCCCATACCAGCTATGTGGACAACTGCTCCTCCCCCCAGAAGAATTTATTTGAGAGGACGGCACTGAAGCTGCAGCTAGGGGAGAGGGGCATGTCTGATCAGAGCAAATGGGAGCACTTAGGGGGAGGAAGAGAGAGTGGAGCACATCCTGACCTACCAGGCCTGGAGGACGACATTCCTGCTCTGAACAGCCAGTGGACAGATTGGACAACATGGCTGATCCCACCACAAGACACGCCGTCCCCTGATGGCCCCGGGCCCTAAGGGGGACAACACTGGAGACTCAGTGTCGGGACTGGCCC